AGTCACCTCTAGAATCTGTCTCCAGATATAAGTGCTAGTTTACATGAAAATTGACCTGCGTGTTTAAACTATCTCATGTTATATAATTGTTATGACTTAGTGCATATCATGTTATGAAGCTTATTTTCCACATCAAGTGCGTGTTATGATATTATAAAATGTTTTAAACAATAGTGCACTTCATACCCCTATACTTTTGACTTAACTTGCGTTTAAAAAAAACAGACGTAACAGACAGAGAGATGTCTAATTTTAGTCGAATGCAAATCTTGAACATCCACTTGTTCCTTTTCTTGGAGAATCTTAAATCAGTTTAAAATTATTAATTTTATTTTGGAATTTGTATTTTACTTAGAAGCTTCCACTGCAGTGTATCTATACTTCCAACTTAATGTGACTAAATCATTCGTGTAACATTTTATTATATACTCTTGCGACTAAATAACTAGACATGACCAAAACACGGGTAGGGTCGGTCGACAGGCTGGGTTTTGGGGACCCTAGAACGGCACGGACCTAAGTCGCGTCGGGTCCATGGCCCGGCGGGCCGGGTCGAGCCAGGCCCGACCAAATAAAAAAAGAGAAAAATTAATAAATAAAAATAAAAGCAAAAGCATGTGATTTTCCCGGCCCCACACCGGCCCGGTTAAAATCCGAGCCGAACCGGCGGGACATGTGACCCGTGGCCACCTCTATAAATAACACGTGTGTCGTACTGCATGCATAATTTAAAAAAGGCAAAATTGCAATTTTAGTCATGTTGGTTTGATCCAGTGGCGTTTTAGTCCAAAAAATTGAATAATTTTGCTATTTGGTCCTATGATTTTAAAATTCAACACAATTTCAGTCTTTTGGGACTGAAAATGCAACAAAATTTAAAATTACATGACTTCAAAAGGGGTCTTTGTTTCGGTGTCAAACTCCGAGGACCCCAAGGAATACCCCACCACAAAGTGGGGTATATTTTAAATTTTGTTGAAATTTCAATCCCAAAGGACTGAAATTGCAGCAAAATACTAAATTACAAGATCAAAAGACAAAAAGTTAAAATATTGGGATTAAAAATGCTACGATATTAAACCAGTAGGACCAAAAACACAATTTTTGCCATTAAAAATATAATATTGGCTTGTTAAAAGCAATAAATAGATATTAAAATTATTTATAATTTCAACCAATAAGTATTTTACATTATCTTAGACTAACTTTAACGGTGACCCAACCTGTGGGTCACCAATTAAAAACATAAAAAAAAAGTAAAGGGCGTGAAAGTTGAGCGACCCAGGTCACATTGTAACCTTTGGTCGCAACCTGTAGAGTGTATGAGAATGTTGTTCCATTTTGATTGGATAAGTGATGCAGACCCTAGTAAGATATTGTCCGCTTTGGGCTACTTCCGCCACCCGCACGACTTTGTTCTTGGCTGGGCTTCAATACACACCCACCAAAACGCGTCTTACTAGTGAAGGTATCCACAATCTCATATAAGGCCTGCTTCGTTTTCTTTCAAACCCGATGTGGGATGCGCTGCATCAATAAGTGTATTTTTTTGTTTAAAAAAATAAAAATAAAAAGATATTAAAATTCGTATTTTTTCATTCTATACAAATAGAGACCACACTTAATATATTTTGGAATAAAATTATAATTTTTAAATATATTAAATTAAAATAAATATTGAGGTTGAGTTGGGTTAGGATAAAAATTAATTAGGTTGGAAGATTGAGTTGTGAATGTAGAGGAGAGAGAAATAATTTTTAATTATTATATTGGGTTGGGTTTGGTTAGAGATAATGATGGTCTTTATAGGGATGCACTAATAATAAAATATCCAAATATGTTGTAAATATAAAATAGCGCTAATCATATATGATCACTGGAATGTTACAGTCCTGTTACTGTATGATTCCGTTGATTTTTTTTAACCGTAAATTATTTACACATCACAAATCTTCTATATGGTTGAAAGTACCAATAGAATCATACTGTAACGGGGTCGCATTCTCCAATAGCTATAAATTTTGTTGGGTTGGATTAAAATTCGGTCGTGCTTGTTAGACTCTCAACCGGACCGGCCCATGCCGCACCCATTAGACTCTCAACCGTACTCGTAAAGGGTTTTGCGTTTTCCTGGTAAAGCATTCACTAGGGTTTATGTCTTTCAACAGAAAAAAAAAAAAAACGAATCATCTAACACTTCCACTCTTTCTGACAGTTCTTGCTAAGCATGCGTATCACCGCTGATTTCATACCTCTGTTTTTGCCCTAAAATAGAAAAAAAACACAGAATAAGAGAGCAGCTAATGAAATGCAATTAGTGTCGGTTTCTCAATTTGTGGACTACCGCAAGAATGCGTTCTTGCACCCTGACTTTACTGCCCACGAGACAAAGATTGCACTTTTACGCCCAGTTAGTAAACATCTCCACTTCCTGTACCGCCGCTCAAGTTGCTGACTTTTCATCAGATGATAACTCAACGGTGGTCTGCGAGTCGATAAGCTACACTGACCTGCAGCAGAGGATGCAGAAGCATGCCACCTCAGGCAGCATTACAAAAGCCCTGGAGACCCTGAATTTCATGAGGCATAACGTGCCGGGAAAACCGACTGTTTACGACTATAATGCGATGATGGGTTGTTACTTCAAGTCGGGTAATGTTTTGGTGAATGAGGTGTTTGAGGTTTACATTGGGATGAAAAGGTTTGGGCCGACGCCGAATTTATTGACCTATCACACTCTCTTGAATGGGATTATGTCTGCCGGTGGGTTAAACGACGCAATTTTGGTTGTTAAGGAAATGATAAATTGTGGGTTGCTGCCTTCGTTTAAAGTTTTCTCGAAATTGCTCAAGAAGCTGCTGCAAGCAGGGAGTGTAGAGGATGCAACTTTAGTGTTCCATATTATGTTTAGTTCCAACTTTTATCCAAGTCATTGTGATACAAGTGCCTTGATCCAGGGTCTTTGTAGTGAGGGGATGGTCCAAAAGGCGTATTTTGTCTTCTCGTTGTTTTCAGGTAAGGGACACTTTTGCAGAGGGTCTCTTTACAATCCCATACTATGGAATCTATGTAAGTCTGACCAGACTTACACTGCTCTATCATTTTTCGGTTTGTTAGGAAAGAAGGGTTTCGTACACTGTGTGCATTCATACACTGCTTTGGTTTACGGTTTTAGTAAGGAAAAGCTCTGGGATGAAGTTTTTCACTGCTTGAATGTAATGGAGAATGTTGGTTGTAGGCCTAGTCTAGTAACTTATACTGTAATCATTAAATTTCTATGTGATGACGGTAAAGTTGATGAAGCACTCATCCTTTTAGGCAAGATGGAGGAAGAAGGGTGTGATCCTGATCTGGTCACATACAATATAATTCTTCGTGAACTTAGTTATCAAGGCAGGATGGTTGAAATTGATGGCCTTCTTCGAGTTGCTGGTGAAAAGGGTTTGGTGGCTGATGTGTACACTTATGCTGCTTTGGCTGGAGGTCAGTTAAAAAGGGGCAAGGTGGATTGTTCCAATAAGATGCTGTTCAATGTTGTTAAGAAGGCCTGCTCTCTAGACGACGTTGCTTATAATATATACCTGCACTCCATTTGCTGTGATGGTAGTTCAAGAGATGCTTTGTACCTGATTCAGAGTTTGATCAAGAAGGGTTTGTTTCGACCCACTAATACAACTTACAATGTGATTCTAAAAGGGTTTTGTGAGGAGAAAAACATGGATGAGGCTCTAGAGTTGTTTTACCTTGCGAAGTTTCCTGATAACGGGCCTGATCTAATTTCTTTCAACACGATTTTGTCTGCTGCGTGTAAACTGGGAGATTCATCAGTGATCAGGCAGATTTTGGGGCGAATGGAGTGCGAAAAAATAAATTGCGATGTCACGAGCTTGACGTGTCTGATTGAGTATTATTGTTCGACTGACAATATTTCCGAGTGCTTGAAGCTGGTGAAGTCCATGGTGGTTAAGGGCCCTAGGCCTAACACAGTCACTTTGAACACCCTCCTTCTTGGGCTCTGCAAGAAGCGTAAACTCGAGATGGCATTAAAAATGCTCGACTATTTTAAAGAAAATGGGATATCGCCCGATACGGGTTCATATAATATTCTAATGCGTGCCTCTGTACGTGTGGGCAAGAATTATCTTTTATACGAGCTTTCAAAGGAGATGTGTGGCAGGAAACTTAAACCGGATGTCAGCACTCATGGTTGCTTTATATATGGAGCTTGCAGGGAAGGCAAGATCCCACATGCCCTTGAACATCTAGACATGATGAGAGATGATGGATTTGTTCCTGATTTATTTATTTACAAGACGATAATGAAAGCGATGTACATGAGAGGGATGTTTAGGGAGATCATGTATTTGTTTAAAGTCATGGCCATGGATGGCCATTTGCCGAATGAAAATTCTTTTGAGATCTTGAGAAGAGCAAAGATGAATGGTCGGATGAATGGCTCCTGCAACATGCCTAACTGGAAGTGTGTGTAGGAATTGGGAGTTGAATATGAGTTTAGTTCCTGTGGACTTCTGGTAACTTGGCCTTAAGCATTTTGGGCTCGCAAGGACAAAAGCTTGGCAAATTATTGGACCAATACAGCTCACTCGTTGTAAATATGTTAGAGTTTGTCATGACTGAGTAATGATCAAACTCCAGATATTTTTCATGAGCATGTGATTGAGTTAAAAGATGCCAGTCATGACAGTGTGGACAGGTATACGTCCTTGATCATCATTATGTTACTCTAAACATTCAATTGTTAGACCGAATTTGAACTGGTCAACTGTGATTTGATTCGTCATACTTTGTTCCGTATAGTTGGAGTTCTTGACGTTCAGTTTACTGATTTTATTAAATTAGTCAGAATGTTTATATATCCTTATAGTATGGGTTTTAATGAAGCATTTCAGCAATTAACTTCATCTAAAAATCCGCAACACAATTTTCAGTTTCTTTTGATGTAAATTGCGAATAAATTTTTATATTAGAACATTAAGTACATTGTTTTTTTATGTTTTCTGTTCATGATGATCCTGGTTCATTCTTTTTTTTTTTTTTTTTTTTAATCAGAATTTCCTGCTGCATGGCGGTAATGGCTGATTGAAATTTCGACAGCTTCTGGATTTGGCCAGAATTTTGTTAGTGTGACTTTGCCTTTGAATCTTGAGTAATATCTCAGGTGAGTTTTCTTTATCATGCTTTGCTTCTCATTATTGTTATTTTTTTGGGGAGAGTATCGCTTGTTGCTCTTTTTGTACTGTCTGTTATTGTCATAGGAGGAAAAAACTGAAGCAAAAGTGAATTTGCTTAATCTGCATAAATCATACTTGCAACGTTTTCAACTTTCTCAAATAGCTAAATGCTTGATAATATCATGATACTGCAGCGAAAGGATTTGGATTAAATTTACAACTTCGAACTTTCATTTCCTTAATTCGTTTATTATTTTCATTTATTCAGTGGATAGATTAACATGGATTTTGAAAACACCTTAACAAATCCTACTTTCGGTAAAACAAGATTACAAGATAAATTAATTCAAAGGTCGGGAAGGAATAGTAACGAGATGGAAAGTCAACAAAGCGTAAAAAAACAGAAAATAATTGAACAACAGTAGGTCATTCTTGCATCAGGCCATTACTTGTACTCCTGAATCATATACGTCTCCAGGTTTCCAGTTTTCAGGTATATCATTGACTGGAACTAGCCATTTCCCATCTCCATTTTCGTCACTGAGTAGCATTCTTACTGATAAGGGCCCACTTGGTGGTGCCGCAGTTGTCCATACGGCTCCATAACTCCGAGCCAATAGTTTGCATACATAATTCTGTGTCTGCATATTGAATCATTAAGTTATTTTGATTATTTGTGTAATACTATTTCGCATGCATCTGATAGTCTATATTATTATTATTATTATTATTATTATTATTATTATTATTATTATTATTATAATTATTATTATTATACTACCCAAAAATTCGGAATGTAAATTCAGAGTTTGAAAAAAAAAAAAAAAATACTTCGCATAGTTGCACGGCAGTTATATCCTGCTTGCCTCCTTGATACCAAATCACAAAAGCTAGATAATGAGGGTTGCTGCTGCTTTCATCAATCTTAATTGCAATATTTTTGTTTGGATAGCTGCATGAGACCCTGTACAAGTACGTGAATGAGCTTGTGTCGTGATCCACTCATTTATGCAGATTGAAACATGAGAGATGTATATCAAGCAGTTGATTACTTGATTTGGAACGTAAAGTAACTTTGTGTCATGTAGGCCTAAATTTTAAAATATGAATTCGTAATTCCTCAAAATTTATAATACAAGCATGTTGCCAAATGAGAAAAGCTACAACAAAAAAAATGACTGTCCTATTTATAATACATGTAGTATGCTTGTGCTTGGGATGTATATATTTATTTCAAGAAGTTCATGTTACTATACCGTCTGTATTCAATATCGATTACACCAAGTGCCAATAGTGATGAGGCTGCATCGTCATTCTGAGCCATACGACCAAAGGCTCGTCTGCTCAGAATGAAGTCTGTCCGGTCACTTGCACCCTGATCGGTTATGACAGCTGTCACACCTTTGTCTGAACAGTAGTAACTATTGTTGCACCTGACCTGATAATGCAATAGGAATAAGCCGCTTTTTTCCTTGGACAAATTTCATTATTTATTTATTTGTTTTATTTGAGATTATGTTTATTTACCTGGTAACAGGCACCACATCCTACTCCATTTCGGTAGAGTTGCGATGCAGCTGATACATGCCCACCATTGATTGTTGCACCAAATGTGCCATAGCCGCAACTTCCGGCTGCATTTAGTAGAACTTTAGAAGTGTAGAATAAATTGATAAAAGAACAACAGTGTTAGATTTAGCCATGTTGTAAAGATGACATATTTTTTTAGTCACTTTCCATGAGGGGATGATTATCCCGTCGTGAAATGGTCATTACCTGGCGTGAAACAATAATTTCCTTTGGAAATGACTAAAACAAATGTGTTTGAAAAAAGGTACACACGCGCGCGCACACACACACACACACATGTGTTTAGAAGAAGGGCTACTTTTGACCCATTTGCACTAACGGGACAAGAATGAAAAACATAACAAGAACATCATATGTCTTTTAAGATTGCTAACATGTCTTCATGGTTGTATTTCCTTAACAAATAGCCCCCACTGAATATATAAAATAAATATAATGTTTAGGGGATTATTTGTATTTTTAAAAAATATTGGAAGTTGTTTGTTGTTGGGCTGAAAGCCAAGGTTATATGTGTCGTAAGATTGTTCTCATACATTTCACTCAATCAACTCTCTACTGACAGAATAAATTGCAAATATAGAGAAAAATCATGTGTATGCTTTTCTTTTTTCCTTTATTTTTTCAGCTAAATTGCTGACATCTCACTTTCTGTCCCTTTATCATCAGAATTCGGGTAATGAGTAGCCCTTGACTGGATGAAACAATCGGTGCATGTGGCAGCATTTCCCGGACGTTCAAAGAGGAGACAAACGGCTACAAGAAAGTTAAAGAAAAGCACGAAACCAGCCATTATAAGAAATATGGAAAACGAGCAGGGGAAAAAGGCAACGAAAAGATGGGTTTGTGATGGATGAACTGGGAATCGAATTTTGTCTATTTATAGAATGAATAAAATCGTGCACAACCGATACCAATCTCGTAAACCCTCAAACTTTTGACCAATACATGCTGAAGAAATTAATTTTAATACGTTTCTTTTCCTCTCCAAGTGGAAATCCATTTCTTGAAGTTTGTGGTAATGTCAAAACCATAGCCCCACTGTACAGTGTGAATGATACACTAATGTTTCTGATTAGAGCAGGCAACACTAGAATATGTTATATTTTCTCTTTTACAAGTTTGAATTTTGTTCATGCTTCAACTTTTCGGTAGGTAAGAATCTGATGTGATCATTACAAGTCAAAAACATTGGGTTTGGCAGTATAAGCTGATAACTGGATTTTGTTGAGTATTTGTTGTTGAGGCAGTTTTTGCAGCCATTCTATCCACTTGTCCACTCAGCACAAGTGCCTACTCTGGTACTCTGGTTTTCGTGCCATACAGGAACTGAATGTCGTTGCTTTTATTGTTTGAATATATAGTTTTCCTTTATTTTACAAAGTAAATTATACAAAAACTTCCAATGTTAGATGGAGACGAGATTGCGCTCGCAGTCGCTGTGGCCCGCTCTGGAGTGGACGCAGTCGTTGCGGCCCGCTCTCGATCGTCTTAATCGTTTGTCATTGACGGTGACTTTGACTTCACCATGTCCGACGTACGTCCTTTTGGTAATATGGCGGCACGGGACGAGGACTACTTCGTACGATCGATGACGGGAGACTTCTTTCCAGGATGAGATCTTGAAATTCTCCAGCCGCCGAGTTCTTGGATTAAAAGAGGTCGATTGAATATGAGGATTTGCCTTTTTTTAAGACGAGGGGTCGACTGAATATATGGATTCGCCTATTTTTTAGCCGAGGGGTCGACCAAGTATGAGGGTTCGCCACTTTATGATGACGACGGGGCATACGAGGTCGGTGAGGTATGTTGATAACTGTTGTAAATGAGTGTAATTGGGCCAGAAATTCTATGGCACCACATGTGACACCATATTATGGTGCCACAACATGATGTGGCACATTATGATTCGTGCCACAACATTGGCACGAATCATAATGTGCCACATCATGTTGTGGCACCATAATATGGTACCACATGTGGTGCCATAGAATTTCTGGTAATTGGGCCCCACCTTTTATTTATTGGTGCAATTGGTGCTACTTGAGTCACTAATAATTGTAATTGAAAGCTTAATCATGTGGAGGCATCTTTTAGCATGTGAAAGACTTATTAATTGAAATTGAGATCTGTAACCATGTGAGAGCATCTTAAGCATGTGGAGTCATCACAATTTGCTCATCAATTTCACCTATAAATAGAAGGCCCGACAGAAGAGAAATGTGTATCAAAGAAGAAGAGAAAAAAAAAGAGAGAAGAAAGAAAGATAAAGGAAAGAAAAGATAGATTTATGTCCAAATATCGGATATAAAAATATCAAAAGTGAAGAAAGAAGTGATATTTTTATTTGTTTTACGATATTCTTTTTATTTCTAAGAGTTCAATTCTCGACTCCGTTATAGTTCGCCGGAGCTAGTATATCTGGTGTGCTACATATTTAGAGACGTTTACCGTTGTATCTTTGGGGAAGTTACGCCTGAATCGTTAGCTGACATGCGGGGCGTATTCTTCTTGTGGAAAGAGTTTTACTCGCCTCGGCTAAAATCTTTCCGTTTTCCAGTTGTAATTTATTTTTTCAGATCTATTGTAAATTTCTATTTTTAGATTATTTGTAAGAACTGAAAATTACATATCAGTTCGTAGGATTCCCGTGTAATTTCACACTAAGTATCCAACAATCGCAAGAAGAATACTAGTCATCCTACTGAACTGATGGCATCCACCGGAGCAGGTTCCAGCTCTCAGCATCCGATCAATCATGTACTTGATGTCCATGTTCCTACAACTGAAAAGCCCAAAAAATTGAACGGGCTTGACTTTAAGAGATGGCAACAGAAGATGCATTTTTACCAGACCACTTTGGGTTTGGTGAAATACCTAAAAGACGACCCTCCGGTCATTTCTGAGAATGAGATAAATGCAGAACTACGCGCTGCGTACGATGCTTGGGGGCAAGGTGACTACCTTTTGCCGTAACTATGTCCTGAACGGGCTTAGTAACGAGTTGTACAATGTGTACAACTCTGTTGGTTCTGCCAAGGAGCTTTGGGCTGCCCTGGAGAAGAAGTACAAGACCGAGGATGCCGGGGCGAAGAAATTCGTCGTCGGCAAGTTTCTTGACTTCAAGATGGTTGACACGAAGACTGTCGTGTCACAAGTGCAAGAGTTCCAGCTAATCTTGCACGATATCCATGCTGAAGGGATGACCTTGAGCGAGTCATTCCAAGTAGCGGCTGTGATCGAGAAGCTGTCGCCAGGCTGGAAGGACTTCAAGAATTATCTCAAACACAAAAGAAAGGAGATGAGTCTTGAAGACTTGGTGGTTCGTCTTCGTATCGAGGAAGACAACCAAAATTCATCAGGAAAAGTTCCGATGATGGAAGCTCGTGCCAACTTGCTGGAGCAAGGTAACTCGAGCAAGAGAAAGCCCTTCAACAATGGGAAACAGACTGCCAAGGTTTGGAAGTTTACCGGAACCTGTTACAATTGCGGAAAACCAAACCATATGGCAAAAGACTGCAAGAGGCCAAAGAAGGTTGGGCCAAAGAAAGGGCAACCGAGTGCCCTTGTTGCTGAACAAGGCCCTGTGCCGGGTGAACTGACCGACTTTGATATGTCGGCTGTGGTGTTTGAAGCCAATTTGGTGGATAACCCAAGGGAGTGGTACATCGATACTGGTGCCACTCGTCATGTGTGTTCCGACAAGGAGGTGTTCTCTGAATACACTCCTGCTACGGGTCGGAAACTTCACATGGGAAAATCCTCCACGTCTGATGTGGCTGGAGTGGGCACGGTGGTGCTGAAGCTCACTTCTGGAAAGGAGTTGAAGCTGAAGGATGTTCTGCATGTCCCAGACATCCGCAAGAATTTGGTCTCCGGATCACTTCTTGTTGAGCATGGATTTAGGCTAGTGTTTGAAGCTAAGAAGTTTATTCTTAGCAAATATGGAAAATTCCTTGGTCGTGGTTATCTCGACAAAGGATTGTTCAAAATGAATGTAATGGTCGTGAGCCGTGTAACCGTTGATAATAAAAAGCCTATTTCTATTTATACTATTGAGTGCTCTGATTTATGGTTTATTAGATTGAGACATGTATCTAAATGCAATTAAACAGTTGATGAAGTTAGAATTAATTCCTAATTCTAAAGTTGAGACAAATACAAAATGTGAAATTTGTATTGAAGCAAAAACGACTAAGTTGCCTTTTCACTCGGTGGAAAGAAGTACTGAACCATTAGGCTTAATCCATACTGATGTATGTGATATGAAAAGTGTGCAAACAAGAACCGGTAAAAAGTATTTTGTAACTTTTATCGATGATTGCACAAGGTTTTGCTACTTATATTTGTTAAGAAGCAAAGATGAGGTTGTGGAAGCGTTTAAGATATATAAGACCGAAGTTGAAAATCAACTCGGCAAAAGGATTAAAATAATCCGAAGTGATAGGGGTGGGGAGTATGTAGCTCCTTTTGAACAAATATGTTTTGAATATTACATAATTCATCAAACGACAACACCTTATTCTCCACAGTCGAACGGTGTTGCTGAACGCAAAAACCGAACTTTAAAATAAATGATGAATGCCATGTTGATTAATTCAGGATTACCACAGAACATGTTGGGGGAAAGCTGTTTTGACAGCAAATCATATCCTGAATAAAATACCACCTAAAGGGAAAGATGAGACTCCTTACGAAATGTGGAAAATTCGTAAGCCGTCTTATAAATACCTGAAAGTGTGGGGGTGTTTGGCTAAGGTTTCAGTACCTGAACAAAACAAATGAGAATCGGGCCAAAGACGGTCGATTGTATATTTATTGGATATGCGTACAATAGTACAGCATATAGATTTCTGGTTCATAAATCAGAAAATCCAGTGGTATCTGTTGGTACCACGATTGAGTCAAGGAATACTATATTCTTTGAGAATGTTTTTCCTATGAAGGAAAGGGCAGAATCTAGTTCTAATAAAAGAACGTATGAAACTGCTAGTGGTTCTGTACCAGAGGGTACTAATGAAGAACCGAGACGTAATAAAAGGGTAAAAACGGCTAAAACATTTAGACCTGATTTTATTACGTACATGTTGGACGATGAACCGAGTTCCCTTAAGGAAGCTCTGTCCAACCCAGATGGACCACTCTGGGAAGAAGCTGTAAATAGCGAAATCGAGTCCATTATGCAAAATCATACTTGGGAGTTGGTTGATCTCCGTGATGGTTGTAAACCTTTAGGATGCAAGTGGATCATAAAGAAGAAATATAAAGCTGATGGATCGATTGATAAGTTTAAAGCACGTTTGGTGGTCAAATGCTTTAAACAAAAAGAAGGGTATGATTTCCTTGATACCTATTCACCAGTTACGCGTTTAGCGTCGATAAGAGTGCTTCTCTCGATTGCTGCTTTGCACAATCTTGAGATTCACCAAATGAATGTCAAAACGGCATTTTTGAATGGTGAATTGGAAGA